ATGATGGAGATTTTATTTTATTTTTTTTGAGATTTTATTTTTTAAATTAACCTGTGTCTGCTGCAGCATTCACTGTATGCTATCACTCTTCCCCACTCCCTCTTCCCTTTTCTCTGAAGGTCCTTTTCCTCATGTTCAAGGAGAGCCAATAGAGATCTAAAAATGAATTAATTGAGCTTGAATCACTATTGGTTAATGTCTACTAACAGTGTATAATTTTTAAAAGATTCTCCCCAGAATATTTTGAACCCCTTTCCCTTCCCTCCCAACAGTTTGTCAAGAAGAAACGGAGGGGAGAAGAAAGAGAAAGGGGAGAAGGAGGGTGGAAAGGAGAAGGACGAGGAATAAAAGAAAAGAGGAGGAGGAGGAGGAGGAAGAAGAAGAAGATAGAGAAGAAGGAGAAGGAGAGGAAGAGATGGTGGAGGATGACGAAGAAGAATAATAACAACAACAACTGTAAGAGGGCTACAGTAGGCTGGTTCTCTGAAGGGTAGCTGTGAGTCACGCTAAAAAACTCTAATGAGCTCAAGGTACAGACACCAAGAAAAAGGCTTCTTTCTCTTTTGCTTTCAGAAGCTGTCCAATTGTTTTCCTTCCCTTATGAGCTCCAGGTTATAAAAAAAGAAATTGTGTACTTGTCCCTTTCAAGCCCAATCTAAACAATCCTATTTCCAAAGTGGACTTGTGTTGAAGATGAAATTGCCAATATTAAGGTCACACCTGTGTGCCATGTCCTACTGTCTGGAAATTCATGCTGTGTTATACACATTCAAATATGGTCCTTTGGACTTCTTTCCTGATCCCCATCCTAACTCCCGTCAGCCTCAGACCACCTCCCCCTCCTGCAACTTGTACAGATAATGAGAATGCTTTATAATCTACATTCATCTATAAAATCTACAAGAGGCATAATCTCCATTTCTGAATGAACCTGGGCATAGACTGCCCAGCTGTGACCATGTTACTGTGCTATCACAGGTGTGCAACTTCAACCACATTAATCTTCTTAATTTCTTTATGAGTCCTTCCTAGCTTTCAGAGTGGCTAGGAATGTCTGGGAAGACACTCAGGAGTTGTTTTGTATCCTTAAATTTTGTGAGGAAGGAGAGTCACGGTGAACTTCCAGCTTACAAATAAATGAATGAACATGTAAATAAATCAAACCAATCTGCCTTGCTTTCAGAAATTAATGAAAATTCCCTCTTAGAAAACAAGCACAGTGATGGATAATTTGGGTGTGAAGGCAACCCAAGGAAGAATAAAGTTTGTGCTGTGTGCTGGCATAGCAAGAAACAGAAACCTGTACTTCCTTGCTGGAGATAGGTGTGTGGACTCACAGTAAAATTACAGTTCCTCCATTTTTAAGTTGGGCACCCCTTCTAGCTACCTTTTAGCTTTTAGCTTTTAGCTACCTCAACCTTGTAGGGTTGGGCAGTTATTATTATATTCAAACCATAGCTATATCTGTGGTAAATCAGATCTGAGGACCCCGCAGTGGAGTTGAAGATCAGGATGAAAAGAACACCAAGCTGTGCATTTAGCCCAAATACCCAAGAGAACAGGTTATCAGTGGTAACTTTGCATTTAAGGCAAAATCAATCTATGAAAAATAAGTTACAAGCTCTTTGCAACAGTAGCTTCGCATGTACTTATTTCTCTCCCATGTCCAGACGGGGTCGTCTATTGAATGAGGCTCTTTTATTTTGCATGGGGCAGGGGATTTGTGACCATGGTCCCCCCTTTTATTCCTCTCTCTATGGAAACCCAGATCATGGGGAGAAATATGCGAGGCTGAATAAAGAGAAGCCACAGAAAGGAGCGCTTGAGAGCGGCATCTGTTACACTTGGGAAGTTAGACTGACAAGAGAGGGCGAAGGCAACCTCTCCAGTAGATTAGTTAGAGCAGCAAGAATATTTTACTATATGCAGGTATTTTCTTCAAAAAATAAAACATCTTACATGTAAAAGAAGATTCTATTACAGCTGTTAGAGGATAGGACTGCACCTGAATTAGGTAGTGTCCATATTCATGGGAACTATTTTTTTAAAAAGGAAAGAAGGAAGGAAGGAAAGAGGGAAGGAAAGAGAGGGACGAAGGAAAAGAAGAAAAAAGAAGAAAAGGAAAAGAAAGATTATTACTTTTTTTTTTTTACTTCTGTCAGAAGCTATTCTTACATTAAAGGACTGCAGAACAAAGGTGTGAAAAACCTGTCGCTAGGTGCAAATACATCCTCCCGAAAGCTGCTCCCTCCCCAGCCTCTGGGCAGGGTCTGAACTGCTTTTGAAAGCCTGGCAAAACTGATTGCCTAGAGTAGAGGCTAAGGGCTAGAGGAAGGTTGATTATAAGAATTCAGGCAAGTCAGAATTGGAAAAGGACCCCCTTTTTTCTCCATGTAAAAGCCTTATAAATTGATAATTGCCTTAACCCCCTAAATGGCTAGACTAAGATTAGTAACTCTTTCACCCAAAGGAAGCTGTGATGGTGGAGGTGGGGAACACAACATTATAACAACATGGCATGATCATAATCTTTTTGCTCTTCTGGTTCCTTCACTGTGTTTCCCTCTGACCTCTAAACTGATGTGAGATAGACTACCAAATGGACCCTTGAACAGACAGTCTAACAGAGCACCTGAAAACTTATATTTTTGTATGATTTTAACAAGTACTTTTTTCTTCAGGAAGCAAAAGTTCAGGCACAAATGAGATTGTATCCTTACAAAGGAAGATATACACAGTTGGCAATTAAAGAAAGGATGTTCTTCTACAGAAAGAGGAGATAGATAAAAGGAAAGAAGGGAAGAAGAGGGGACAGAGGAAGAGAGGGAAAGGAAAAAAAACAATTTCTAGGTTAAAAGCATATATATATATATATATATATATATATATATATATATATATATAATAGGACACCAGCAAAGGAAACCACAATTTCAATGAGAAAGAGGAGGGGGAGAAGATGGCAAATTATCATCTCTGCCAGTAACTACTAAGTGTTTATCCTTTTTTGTTTTGTTTTGTTTTTAAGAGAGAGGGAAAGAAAGAAATAGATCTCAACCAGATGCCTGGTCTTCCTGCTTAATAGACACAATTTACATTTACCAATATAAATTCCTATCGGTCTCTGCTCTCAATAAGAAATTACTCATTTCACAGGAAATGCATGCTTTTTATCTATATAAAGGAATGGCAGAATAAGCTCACCTTGTTTTTATTTTTTCTCATTTTCTTGCATTTTCTTCAGATCTGTCTTCTTAGAGAAACTAATGCCTTAATGACTTTCTGGTAGCTGCAAGCCTTCTTTTATTTCTGCTAAATATATGAAAATGTATGCAAATTTAAATCAAGCTAAACCTAGGAGCTCTCGCAATATATTTAATGGAATTTCAAACCAATAAGGGAACTCTGATGCTGTCTTCAGTTAAGTGCAAATATAATTACGCAGCTAGGTTATCTTCAAAATCATGCAATGGAAGGTCATTTTTTTTTTTACTTCAGAAATCCAGCTGGGTATCCCTTGTTTCCTTTTCTCAGCTAGTCTTTGCATTTTCACTCCACTCAGCTTACAAGCAATGCCTTTGCGCAGGGCTGTGAAGTACGTGGGACTTGCCCTTTCCTAACTTATAAAAGCTTAGGAGTACAAGTCTTTCTTGTTTCCTCTAAGCAAAATGTGAAAACAGTCCAGTTCTCCCAAGCTGAAAGCAAATCCAAACTGATGGGGATGTGGTGGTGGCGGCAGGGGGTGGGGTGTAGGGGGTGGGGGCGGCTGCGGGCAGGGGGAGCGGTCCTTAATGCTAAACAGCCTGCCATCTCTCATCTCTCATTTCTTTATTTCTCTGAATTTTGGGGGCACACTAAATGATTCCCATTTACTTCAACTTTTCTGGAATGAAGAGGATAGCAGTGCATGTTATAAACAATTTTCCCAGGGGATGGCATCGGGTGCGGTAGTCATGAATGTTCTTCACTGTACCTACCCAGCTGGTCCATTGAATGTTTGGGGTGAGTGTGAGGGAGGGCTGCCTATTTCAGCAAGCATTGCCTCTGAAAAAAGTTCTGGGATCCCTGATGTGAGCTGACATGGAGCAGTAATAAAAACCAAGTCATCCAACTGACCAACTGGATTGGAAGGGAAACTTCAAAATAACTGAATTTTGCCAGTATCACATTAGGTTTTATCACTTTTATCACATAAGATTTTCCCAGAATCTTCTAGTTCTTCATGCCTTAAATAAAAATTTTCAGAAGCTAGACATCTCTTTCTTAGATGCTTTCTGACTTTGGTATTGAGTTTCTTATAAATGATAGAATGAAACAAAACAAGTCGAAATAGTTCTTACTGGAATCATGAACTTCAGTCTGATAGATCTAAGGTCCTATCAAAGGGGTTCCTTTGCTCAAAGTTTGCAGCAAGATTTGGTTTTGCAGTCCTCTGCACAGAACTAACCCAGAACGCTAAATGAATTTGATAAAAATCCCAATCCATTAAAATCTAGTTGATATTTAAACTGGTTATATTGTTTTAATATATTTTTCTTTCTCTATTTCGGTTAATATAAATAATACAAAAGGAATTCTAAAACTATTTTTTTCAACCTCACCTCCTATCCACCCCCCCAAAACACAAACACAGTTTCTTCTTATACTTCCCCCTCCACTACAAATATCCACGCAGCCAGGGGTGGGGGGGGTGGGGGGGCTAACCAAATAAGCCGCCGCCACTCAGCGTCAGGCAGCCAATGGAGCCGAAAGATTGATTTACTTCCTGCTCTGGTCTTACTGAAACTCTAGTGCTTCACCAGCCTAATTTGGAAAGTTAGCCCGGCCTCCCGTGCCTCCATTGGCCGAGCCCATGGCTGGCCAGGCCAAGAAGAGTTACAATTGGCCACAGAGCGTGCCGGTAACTCTCTCGCTGCTTTGGCTCCCCCCGCACCGTAGATGTCAAAGGCTGAAGCTGCTCCCTTTGCCATATTATAACTAGTAGGGGATCCTCATCGACCATGGCCACAGCTGCCTCGAATCCCTACAGCATTCTCAGTTCTAGCTCCCTAGTCCATGCGGACTCCTCGGGTATGCAGCAGGGGAGTCCTTTCCGAAACCCTCAGAAACTTCTCCAAAGTGATTACTTGCAGGGAGTTCCTAGCAATGGGCATCCTCTCGGGCATCATTGGGTGACCAGTCTGGGCGATGGAGGCCCGTGGTCCTCCACACTGGCCACCAACCCTCTGGACCAGCAGGACGTGAAGCCCGGGCGCGAAGATCTACAGCTGGGTCCGATCATCCATCACCGCTCACCGCACGTCGCTCACCACTCTCCGCACACTAACCACCCGAATGCCTGGGGGGCTAACCCAGCTCCGAACCCGTCCATCACGTCCAGCGGCCAACCCCTTAACGTGTACTCGCAGCCTGGCTTCACAGTGAGTGGCATGCTGGAGCACGGAGGGCTCACCCCACCACCAGGCTCTGCCTCTGCACAGAGCCTACACCCCGTGCTCCGGGATCCCCCAGACCACAGCGATCTAGGCTCGCACCACTGCCAGGACCACTCAGACGAGGAGACACCAACCTCGGATGAGTTGGAACAGTTCGCCAAACAGTTCAAACAAAGAAGAATCAAGTTGGGCTTCACGCAAGCCGACGTGGGGCTGGCGCTGGGCACACTGTATGGCAACGTGTTCTCACAGACCACTATCTGCAGGTTTGAGGCCTTGCAGCTGAGCTTCAAGAACATGTGCAAGCTGAAGCCGCTGTTGAACAAGTGGCTGGAAGAGGCCGATTCGTCCACGGGGAGCCCGACCAGCATTGACAAAATCGCCGCTCAGGGCCGTAAGCGCAAGAAGCGAACCTCCATCGAGGTGAGTGTCAAGGGCGTTCTGGAAACGCATTTCCTCAAGTGTCCCAAGCCTGCGGCGCAGGAGATTTCCTCGCTGGCAGACAGCCTTCAGTTGGAGAAAGAAGTGGTGCGTGTCTGGTTCTGTAATCGAAGACAGAAAGAGAAAAGAATGACTCCACCAGGGGATCAGCAGCCACATGAGGTTTATTCGCACACGGTGAAAACAGACACGTCCTGCCGCGATCTCTGACTGCAGGAAGCAAGAAAGTGGCCAGCCGCTCTGGGAGCAGGGCGGAATTCTCTCTCTCCCACTCTCTTCCTTTCACTTCAGCTTTATTATTGCTATCTAGAGACATGGCAATATCTAGATATCTAGATAGGGCTCTCTCTCTCCCCCAGTCTTTTTTTTTTCCTTTCTTTCTTACATTTTTTTTTCCAAAATAAGGGATTCTAACTTATATTAAGAAAGGAAACACACTCACACGTGCATCCAGGCTTCTCAACGCTGATACACAGTTGCGTTAAGCAGTCCAGGCAGGAAACTCCTATATGCTGCCGCCTGGGCAACTGCTTCCTCCAACCTTCTCTGCTGATCAATACATATTGTTTATTTTGAGTAAGGTCTGTTTGGTTGCTCCTCTCTTGGAAGAACAAGGAGTGGGGTAACGTGGGGGTGGGGTAAAGATAGGGGAGGGGGGTGGGACGACAGATGTGTGCCTCTGAATAACCTTACAGCGCCTTGGTTATAGCAGCCGTATTTCAGGTGAAATCTGTTTTACAATAGACTAGTTTTGCATTTTTTTAAACTTCTATAGCGTTTCTAAATGTCTGCGGTGTTTTACTACAAGCTGTACACAATATTTGTGAGATAATTTGTATCTAATCGGCCACGTTACTATTGCTATTATGATTATTCCTTCATTGAGCTGATGGTTTTCTAATTACTTAAAAATGGGAAGGGGGTGGTAGGAGGGGAAGAGATATCTACCCATCCACCTACTCCCTACCCTAAATCTGTATGGAGAGGCTAGGTACAATGGAGAGAGTTGTTGATGATAGTGGAATATATATATAATTTTTTTCAGAGGGCAGAGTGTCTAGGATAAGCAGAATACGCAAGTCGATTGGGTTTGCAAATTACCGCTAAGTAGAAGAGGCGACCTCGAAGGCTTCCACAGAGCAATCTGGGTGCCTGTGAAGGATTTGCCGGTGGCGCCCAACAAAAGAGGTTGGCCTGGGGAGCTAAGAGAGCTCTATACCTACCCAGATCGGGAATGCCTGCACTCAGAGCTCCCCACTGGCCCCTTGCCTCACCAGGACCGCCAACAAGATCCCACACCTCCGCTTTCCTAGGCGTAGTACTGCCTTCACACAAGATTGCTTTCTCTGGAGACGAGGACCCCACTGATGCTGGCGACTGGCTGTGTCAGTGCCTCCCATTTCAGTTCACAACCAGTTCACTGCTTGCTCTCTGAGTGAGAAACCGTTGGGGAGGGGTGGCGAGTGGGGTGGTATACAGGTGCTCTCTGCTTCCCGCAGAATGAAAACTAAATGATTGGCAAAGGTTACAAGGATTTGTACCACCTCCTCTCCCGTATATACATATCCTTGTCTCCAAGTGGGCTCATGGGAAGCGTCTCCACGCCTCGGACAAGCACAACTGGTAGAAGCCCACAGAGATGATTAAAGATAGCGAGCCCCCCGGGAGGCTGGGTTTCTGTTTTTGTTTGTTTGTTTTTGATTTTGATTTTTAATCTGTGTGTGAGTCTGTGCGTGACTGCGCATGCAAATGTGTGTGTGTGTGTGTGTGTGTGTGTGTAGATAGCTGTGTGTTTACTATTACAATACTATTACTATTTACAATAAAACAAAAACTGCATAAAATCTCCTTAGGCTGTGTAGAGATCCAAAAAATATGCAGTCGCGGAGGCTTTATTGCTAACTCTCATGTCTACACGCCAAGTCCACAGAGACACCTCATTCTCAATGAGCACACAGGAGCAGGGCTGGCCAAGCACCCAACACCCAGACACAGCCCACCAGTCCTGGCTCTGGGCTCTGCACTACTGGGCTGGCTGCCTGGACCAGCCTTCAGGTGCAGCTTCGGTAGACAAAGCTTCAAACTACCTAAGGACCAAAAAGCCTAGAGCCCCTTGTGAAGGTGCGTTAGTATGGGCTGCCAGGCCTCTGGTCCACCACACTGTGTCTCCCCCAGCTGCAGTTTGAAGGATATGTGTTAACTCAAATCTTGGACCTTTTTTTATTTTTTGTCAAGACTGCATTCTGTTGGTAATTGGGTTTTCGTTCTGGAATTTGTTTGTTTGTTTTCCACACTGAGTTCGTTAGGGTTTTCTTGTTTGTTTCAATTTTTTTCTTTTTCAGTTAACTGCTATGGTTCAAACCTGAGTTAACCCAAATATTTCTGCCGACTTTATAATTGTACAGTTTTGTATATTAAACGTTTTTGAAGTTATTAATTTAAAGAAAGAACATTTAGTTTATTCATTTAGTAACTGATGTATAATAAACACTATTTTCATTAAGAGTTGCTTTTTCAACTATTTTATTCAAATTGCCTATTGCAATTGCCAGCAATTATTTATTTTCAATAAATTCTGCATTATGTTTAAAAGAAAACTCAAAGATTAGTTGGGTGTCAAAAAGAAAACAATTTGCTGTAATGTTTGATGTGAACAGTTTTAGTCAAGGGGTTTATATTGACTCAATATTTTATTGTTGTAAAAGATTTAAAATAAAACATTTAAATAAACAATTTTTCCAAAAAATGCATTTTTTTTTCTTTCTTCCTTTTTTTATTGTGTGGTGGGTGAAGTGAAGCATTTAAATAGAGGCACATTTCTGGTGAGCAGAGCATCTGCTCTGCTTCAGGTTAGAAATCATTAGTCATTGTTTTGATTCTTGATTCTCCCTCTGACTTTTGGCCTTTTGTACACTCACATACACAGTGCAGCCTATTATCCTGAACATGCCCATGCTCACGCAAAACACGCCCTAAGTGGTGGGAAATGGTATGGAGAAACCTGGTGGGATAGGGGTTTATTTCAGGAGATGCCATATTAATGTTCTCTGAAAGGAGTGTGTCTGTCTCTAGTCTAGGAGACAGACACTTCTCTGAAACTGCCCCCCCCCAAAAAAAAAAAAACTGGACCCAGACTTTTGCTGAGGCTTTCATCTCACTTCAACTATTCCTCTTCTTCTGGTTTGGGACCAGTACCCTTCTGGTAGATGAACCCTCATTCCTCTGATGAAGGATGAAAAGATGACAAAATATAAAAAGTGCCCTCCTTCTTAAGGCTCCCCCTGGGCCCCAAAATCCTGATAAACTCTTGTCCAGTTAGTGTTGCCCACTAAAGCTGAATTCTGTTCATTCCTATATGACTTTGGGAGGAAGAAAAAAATCATTAGACAGAGACATTTGTAGGAGAAGTTTAATTTATTCTTCTTTTCCCACTCCTATGTACCATTTCAACTTTGTTATTTTGTCACAAGACTCTCCATAAAATAAGGGACAGTTACTTATAGTGAGGAGTGAGGAGTAATTAACTAAATCAGAAGCAGCTATGTTTTACGGATTTGTATTTACACACAAGACTTATCCAACTTTTTGTTTTAGAAGATGCATATCAAGCAGTAGACAAGACATTTAATTATATCTTTCCAACAGTAAAAGCCTTCTCAATTCAATATTCTGAAATGTTTTTGTTAGACAAAGCATAATCATTTAATAATTTTAATAGGTCAGGATTATCACATGTAATGTCCTGCATTTTTTAGATTGCCTAATTATTTACAGCTGCACAGTGCACAATGCACATGTGAGTGTTGTTAATAAAATATGCTACATGTTCTTTGTATGCCCATAGGCATATCTCTCTTTATAAATAATAGTGATTTTATAGAGATGTGTCTACAATCACAAAACATACAGCCTTAAAACTGTTGGCTCTATTTCTGTTCATAACAAACAATTTCTTTCTCTTTCCATATCCTACACAATTTTTGAATTGATTAAAAAGTTATAGCTTTTCTCATTAAGGTACACAGAAACCAACTAGCAATGTATTCTACAGTTTTTAATGGGACCACAAGCAGATATTTTAGGGGATAGTTATATAAACTAATAGATATAGACATCTGTCAGTATTCATCAATATTTTACTATGTATTAATGATAGATATATTTTATAAATATTTACAAGACTTACTTCTTTTACTGACTGTTTTCTTTTTCTTAAAATATAACTAAGGCCTAATTGGCTTTTATGATGACCTCTTTATCAACCTTGTTATATCATTAACAACATTTTCATTAAAATTCAGGGGATGTTGGTGCCTCTGCCTAGGACTTTCTTTGTATTGAGGTTGCTGCCATCCCATTCCCAACCAAAGCTGTTGTAGGAAAAGTAGCTTTGGCTTCAGTTTCTCTTAGGCCTTCTCTTCCATAATAAGAATTGGTGGGTTTCAAAAGAATAATATTTAATGGGCAAAGGTATAAGTTTCATTCCTATCACCTGATAAGAACAATAGAAAATTAAGAGATTGTGAAGGGAGTGAGATTTTGGAAGGGGTAAGATGTGAAAAGAGTGAGTATTTAGATGCTACAGATATTTTAACAAAGTTTAATATGTGAATCAAGTATATGTTTGTACGTAGACATGATTGTCTATATGGCTGTGGCTCTCTGTATTCATAACAAAAGGTAGATTACTAACCTCCAGCCTGTATCTTTTCAACAATAAAAGAAGAGAAATATTATTTCTGGGAATTGGTTTCTTGTCTTTAAAAAGAAAAGGGTAGGGGAAACTATTGTCTACATTAGCACATGAGCTGTGTTTGTCTTCAATAAAATCAAACACTGTTCCCTTGGAAATATTTAGCATTCAGATATTTCCCTTGCTCCCAAGTCAGGATGCTGTTGTTGCTTTAACTGCCTGTGGGCTGTAAGTAGAAACATAAATTTCTGTTTTTACTTAAAATATGTTTTGCAGTAAGGAGGGAGGAAAAGAAAGGGAGAATGGATTAATGAAAAATGATTAGAGGTTAAAACATAGTTTTCCCAAAACAATAATGCATTTTTTTCTACCTGTCATATTCTTTTAAAGACACATATGGAACTTCAAGATTGTGGAAATTATTTCTAAGAATTGGCATTTAAAACTCCAGAAATATAGCCCTTTCAAAAAGTTTTCAAATGAGGAAAAAGTAAAGATGCAAAGCACTACCATGTAA